AGGACGGGTAACAGGGTCTGGGTCGGGGAGCCCGGGGGAGGGGTAGTAGCTTGGCGACTAGATTCACCAATTTTAGATTTTTCCTTACCACCAAACATTTTTTTCAAAGAAAAGGCCATATTAATTATAATTATACAAACTAAAACAAACAAAACTATATTATTAAAACTTAAGAGTTGGAACGAGTTTACCGAATTGACGAACAACTTCTTGAAAATTGAATATCGTTGAAGACTTGAAGACTTGAATACTTCAATTCACCAACTTCACAATTTTTCACGAAATTGCAATAATAAAGTAAGCAATTATAGAAGAAAATTAGAGAGAGATTGATGAATTTGTGAGTAAAAATGAAAGAATGAGGGGGTATTTATAGTTGAGGATAGGGAAAAGTATAATTATAAAAAGTTTGGGGTTAAAACAAAGTTTGGGGGCTAAATGGCTATTTTTTAAACTTCCCAACGGCTGAAATTAAGGGCCAACGGCTACTTTTTTAATTTCTAGCCGTTGGGCTTTTTTTTAGAAATTTTTTTTTTTTTGAAATATTATCGTTGGGCCCGTGAAACCCGTTAGGCCCGGTTGAACCGGCCCAGGCCCGCCTGCCGGTCCCGGGCTAAATGGTCCTGTACTCGCGGGCTTTTTGGTTGAGACCGGCCCACAGTGGGCTTTTGCACCATTAGAGACCGGCCCGTTTGAGACCAACCCGTTTGGCCCGCGGTCCCGGGCCGGTCCCGGGCTGGGCCCGGCCCACAATACAGCCTTAAATTCTCTCCACAACTCGACAACATTATTAGCATATTTCACACTGTCCGCAATATCTTTAGAGAGTGAATTTAAGATCCAAGACGTTACCATATCGTCGCATCGCACCCATTGTCGGAATCTCTGGGATTGAGGCTCTGGTGGTTTACATTCTCCACTTATAAACCCTAGCTTGTTTTTGACGGACAAACCACGTATAACACTGCGTCTCCATGATTTATATCCAATTCCACTTAAAGGAACTGAAACGAGCATCGCTCTAGGATTATCTGACGGATGTAGATAAAGAGGATCGCTTGGATCTATTCCAATGTTTGTCGCAGCGGCGACACCAGTATCACCAACAAATGTATTTTCCTGATCTAGTATGGCCATGAGTTTAAGATTTCATTGAGTTACACAGTAATTCCAGTAGAAATTTGAAGAATTGACTGTCAATTTGCAATTTGAAGAAATTAGGACTGGAAAGGCAGAATTATGGGAAGGAAAAAATGGGGAAAATTGATGGAGACGATGACGGATGATCGAGGATGAGCTTCCCTTGCTCTGATACCATGTTAAATCTGACCTTGAAGATGAGCTTGAAGCTCGATCTGGAGCTCCAATGGAGTCCCTCTAGAGAGTTCTGTGAGAGAGAGCTTATGAGAGATGAAAGCAGAAACTGGAAAACGGAAAGTTGACTTCTTTCTCATTACTATGCTGAGTATATATACACGTGTGGACACAACTAATGGTGAGTTGGCCACTAACTACACAACTAATGCTGAGCTGGCCACTAACTACACAACTAACTCTACTCAATTACAATTAACTAACATCACTAACTATACAACTAACATATAGTAACAATATAATTATGCAAGTCTTAACACAAAAAGGTGAAAAAAGTAGGAAAGAAAAACATTGGGTTATTTTTAATTCTCAAAGCTTCGAATTTCTACAAGCACTCACTAATAATTTGAAAATCAAAAGAACAAATCCCAAAATATTTCAACTACTATTATCTTTCCAAACTTGCAATTTAGATAACCACTTTCTGATAAGTTAGATGAAATGATCAGTTGCATTAGTATTTACGAGCTAATTTTAAAAAATAACCTTATAAGTACAATGATTATATGGGTAATTAATCTGTTTTATGACTTTTAAACATTATAGTTGTTGGCATTTATTCGGAGTAGGCCCATATTAATTTTGTTCTTTATAAAGAGTAAAGGGAACCATGGATGCTTCGTGATTTGACAACGACTACACCACGTTAAATTATTTGATGTAGAAAAAAGAAAAGGGCAATTTACAAAACAAATGATGAACAATCAGCATAAATAGACAAAGTTAGAAACTTATAGGACCAAACATGCTGATATTTTGTATCGAAACAAACAAAACAAATGAAAATTAAACTATCTCAAGTTTTGAAGTTATATGTGGCTAACGTTATGGGAAACTTTGTCGTCAAAAAGAGGTTTTATCCTCATCAAGTGGAAAAATTACTTTTGGTGGTCTTGAACAATGATAATTATTTTCATATTTTTATGAAGGTTACGCCCTACCACATAAATATATGCCGTTTCAATTTTCATTATTCTCTTTTCTGTTTTTCTTACCCCAATTGGTGTACGTTAAAAATAGAAAAGAAAAAGGAAAAACACATTCTAATGCAAGTTTATTTAAAAGAACTTTTTAGATTGTATTTGAAAGATAAGACAACACTTGAAGTGTTAAGTTTCTATTTGACGAACCGAATTTAAAGTTCCTTCAAACCAACTTTAACTTATCTCAACAAAAAAAAAATAATAATAATAATAATAATACGATTAAGGAGTGTGGTGAATGGATAAAATTCATCCACCTTTAATCAAAGGTCTCAAGTTCGACTCATAAAAATAAAAAGACTCATAGTAGAAAATATTTTCTCTATTAACTAATTTTACACCGTGCGAATCCAAATTAATTGATGAGACGTGATATTAAGAATTACGAATTGTTAAAATCTATTTCACATTTTTTTTTTGGGTAACAAAAGTCTATTTTACTTGTATATGCACTATCACATGAAGCGTGGGATTTCTACGCCAATATAATAGGGTAGGCTTAGCTGAGTCTACATCCTTTTGGGGTTCAATCTACTTGTAGTAATTAAGCGTATCGATAGACAGTTTGGTCAAAGTTGATACTATCACAAGTAGAGTAAACGTACGTGATCCAATTAATAACTTGTTCAAAAAACGGTGGAGTTAATTAAGGAGAAATTACCAGCTATGTCTATTTATAAGTTGCTCATTACAAAAATTGGCCAATTGATAAAATATTACTAATATTAGCCAAATTAGCCAATTAGCTATTTGTAGCAAAAAAATATCAAATTTTTGCTTTGTTTTGAGTGGGTGTTATTAAAATAGATTGGGCACAACTTAAGAAGCTTGAATCTCAGTCTTGGGATGATTTGGTGAAGTTTTGAGGTGGTTTGAATTGAAAATTCGAAGTAAAAGCTGAACATGAAAAAAATGATATTTGTATCACATTGTGTATCATTTGTGTATCACATATGTATCATATTTGTATCAATTATGTATCACATGTATATCCATGTATACCTGTGTGTATGATACATGCGTGATACATGTTTTATACATGTGTCGCAGAAGACTTTTTTGAACTCGATCTAATTACGAATTTTGATACAAAACCAGTCCAAATCACCTCCAATCTTCCTCAAATTTTGTATATTGACTTATCTATATAATTTCAATGAATTTCAACTATACCCATTGAAAAAGTTCCTATTTTGTTTAGATTTTTGAAATATTGTATAGATTTTTATATTTCATCACCTTATTTGCTACCCCATCCATGAAATTTCATTTCCGTCTGGTATCTAATGTTGCTAATCACGCTTAAAAATATGGAAGGTGATTTTTGCATGTGATTCTTTGAGAGAAAGAACCCTATTATTTGGTTTTTCATTTTTTGTTGGCTAGTTTTGGTAAGTGTATAATTAATGGCTAGAGGTTGGTAAGTTGAGATTTATTAGGAACATTTGTGTAAATTTCCCGTTAATTAAGTCAATTACACTATATATTATGGAATCATCATCTGTATAATGACGTGAATAAAATAGATCAACAGTTTATTTGAATTCAGCCGTAATTAACTTTTTACACTTTTGAGGCAACGAGTTAGGCCCCGTTTGGCCATGAGTTTTGTCAAAATAAATTTGGGATTTATTTTCAAAACTCATGTTTGGCCATAAATTTTGCCCATATTTTGGCCAAATCTCAAATCACAAATTTCAAAGCTGATTTTGGGCCAAAATTCCAAAACTTGGGAATTATATACATATTTTTTCAAAATAAAGTTGGAAAATATGTTTTGAAAACGTATGTCCAAACATATTCTCATCTTCAAACCAAACTTCACCCAAATCAGACTTTTCAATTCAAATTTGGGATCTATGGCCAAATGATCACGCCCAACTATGCCTTATAAAAAGGACTAAGCGGTCGTTGCAAATATAAGCCGGTTTACAAGTCCGGAGTCGAATCCCACAGAGAACTAAGGCATAGCTACAGTTGTTATCACCAAGAATACAAGCTTGAACAATTCCTAACTTATAGATATTAAGATTCTTGTGTTTAACTAACTAACTAACAAACTAAAATAATAAATTAACATTAAAGATACTACAGGTTGGAGAAAAGATTAAGGAGGTCTAGAGTTATGATTTCCCCAATTGTCGGAATCCTTCCCGCTATGTCTTCTATAATTTCGCCTAAATATTCTCTACCGATCAGGAGCGCTCTGCGTGTTGCAATTCTCTCCCGAGTAATTACGACAATTTACTAGACATACTCTCCCGAGTTACGCTAGCTGGCTTTAATTACAGCTCACTTAGATCGCACCCAAGGTTTCGTTATCCCTAATCCCACATTTAAACCCTTGGTTATTGATTCCTCACATACGTTGGGAGTGATGTTGTTCAACAACTACCTAAATATGCACTCTCTTCCGAGTAATACATACTAAATAGGCATAACTAATTGAGGGCCCTTCAATCAACCAAAAGAATAATATAGTTGAACAAATAGAGAAAATACTACGGCTCAATTATATAAAAATATAATAAGAATTTATCCTACAAAAGGTTCCATCAAAACCCTAGATAACAAATTAGCTATTCATAATAGTATGTAAAACTACAATACTAAAAATCATAACCAACAATGAAAAATAGGAAGAGGAAGGAAAAACTCGTTGAAGAATTCTCCGCCTTACCCCCAGTGTGTTCTTGACTCCTTAGGTCGACTCCCCGGTCTTCTTAGCCTCCGTAGGTCTAAATTATGTCAAAAGTGTGTCCAATCTCTCAAAATACCATTTATCCATGTATCTATACCAAGTAGGGTCGGGCCCAAGCTATTATACCTTCTCCTATGCGAAAAAGGACAATTTTTTCACGTCTGGACGCCGCGGACGACCGCGGTATATGGCAGGTATACTGCCTCAGCCCGCTTTAGGTCTGCGGTTGCGGTTTCGACCGCGTTTTTCACCCTGTTCTGTTTGGTATTTAGAAAAACATAAAACATGAAAGTTGTAGCCCTTTGAGTTAGCTTTCCAATCATATATTTTGGAGCCCAAATGGAGTTCTGAGAGAAAAGTTATGTGCATTTTACTAGACAGTGCGCAATATGCCTACTCGGTTCTTCGTTTTGTTGCTCTATCATTCGTTGATCCCCGAATACGATTTCGACTTAATTCCTTGGGCTTTTACTCAGATTTCAAAGCTCTAAATCACTTTAATTCATTCCATAACATCTATATAGCTCGGAATCACTTCTACAAGGCATAAAACACACCGTTAGTGCAAAACACTAGCGATTAAAGCGCAAACTCAACTAAAGTGCAGTAAATTAGAGTGTAATAAGCGACTAAAATACGTAATTATAGCCTATCATCAACACCCCACACTTAACCATTGCTCGTCCTCGAGCAATCAAACTACACTTTGTTATAGACACGACTTTTTTAAGCAATTCTCCTAACTCATCACACCAAGAGTATTTAAAATAAACTAAGCACAAAAGTGTAACATCTTCACCTCAAGATTTGACTCACAAGTACCATGCATTATTCACAACTCACCCACTTACTCTAACATAGAGGTCACTGACATTACCTTTCCTTCATGAATCAAGTGCCCTCACACAACAAAAGAGAGTAGTTCCACACAATAAAATTTAAGAACACTTAGGAACTCAATATAGAAAGAATTCACTCACTCTCAGAAATAACATTCACATGCCACAAAAGATGCACCATAAGCTTGCCCGTAGTGTACTACTCCACTAATCGAGCTCATTCAATCTAGGATCAATTAGGACTTTATTTGGTTGTAATGTAGGCTACGAGACGGGTAGGATACATTTAGATATAAGAGTGACTACACCTCCCTAAGCACTTTAATACATATACTTTAACATTCAAACCCAATACTTTTGTCAAACCAAAACTCCACCTTCACATCAATGTATATTACCCTATTTTTCTTTAAGCACACTTACAATTACATCAAGAGTCACCACTTATCAAGAATTTTTTTTTCACAACAATACAACTTTTTTTTTCCTTTTTTTCTTTTTTTTTCCAATTCAAGTGGCTCTTACTTTTTTCAAAATATTGCCTTTCTCCTTATTTC